TTGTCCGTTGTCCGTCGTCATTGTTGTCGTTGTTGTTGTAAACTTTTCACATTTTCATCTTCTTCTCAAGAACCACTGGGCCAAATTTAACCAAACTTGCCACAAAGCATCCTTGGGTAAAGGGGATTCAAGTTTGTTCAAATGAAGGGCCAAGCCCTCTTTCAAGGGGAGATAATTAGGAATTAGTGAAAAAATAATGGCATCATTTAAAAATCTTTTTCTCAAGAACCACTGGGCCAGGAAAGATGAAACTTATGTGGAAGCATCCTCAGGTAGTGTAGATTCAAGTTTGTTCAAATCATGACCCCCGGGGGTAGGGTGGGGGCACAATGGGGGATCCAAGTTTTACATAGAAATATATAGGAAAATATCTTTAAAAATCTTCTTCTTAAGAACAGCAAAGCCATGATTGGTCATATTTTTATGGAAGCATCCTCTGGTAGTGTAGATTCAAGTTTGTTCAAATCATGACCCCCGGGGGTAGGGTGGGGCAACAATGGGGGATCCAAGTTTTACATAGAAATATATAGGAAAATATCTCTAAAAATCTTCTTCTTAAAAACAGTAAAGCCATGATTGGTCATATTTATATGGAAGCATCCTCAGGTAGTGTACCTAGATTCAAATTTGTTCAAATAATAACCCCCGGGGGTAGGGTGGGGCCACAATTGGGGATCAAAGTTTTACATAGAAATATATAGGAAAATATCGTTAAAAATCTTCTTCTTAAGAACAGCAAAGCCATGATTGGTCATATTTATATGGAAGCATCCTCAGATAGTGAAGATTCAAGTTTGTTCAAATCATTACCCCGGGGATAGGTTGGGGCAACAATGGGTGATCAAAGTTTACAGAGGAATATATAGGAAAAAGTCTTTTTCTCAAGAACAGAAAAGCCATGATTAGTCAAATTGATATGGAGGCATCTTTGGGTAGTGTAGAATTTGTTCAAATGAGGGCCCCCGGGGGTAGGGTGGGGCCACAATGGGGGATCAAATTTTTACAAATGAATATATGGTAAAAAAATCTGCTGCTCAAGAATAACAAAGCCATTTGTTATATTGATATGAAAGCATCGTCAGGTAGTTTAAAATTCAACACCCCCCTCCTTGTAAACTTTTCAATACTGTACTGATTTTTGCTTTTTTTCCTAGCCAATGTGCTCAGGTGAGCGATGTGGCCCATGGGCCTCTTGTTATTGCTTGTACATGCTGTAAGTTATTTGTTGTTTGAAAAGAATAAATTTATTTGTGTCTGTGAATTAATTTAATGATTATAATTAAAACATTGAAAGGTATGTAAGACAAAACAAATTTGTTAGTCTGTGGTTGGGAATAAAATAAAGCATGGAGGGTCATGATGTAGTTTTACCTGTTCCATTATCTAGTTTTACCTGTCAGGAGTCCTTCCCATTTATATCAAAATATATATTAAATTTCATGACTAAATTTTCCTGCCGTGCAGCTATTGAGAAAATGTAATATGTAGCTTAATTAGTTAATTTAGATCTATGCTCCTAGCTGTGTGTAAAAGTAATTTTGACATGTACCTGCAAATTTGAAATTAATATATGCTGTGTTAAGTGTATCATAAGAAAAGGTTCAAAATGTTCATTTTGAAAAAAAAAAATGCTTTGATGAGGCTTGTTTCCTAATTAAGGGAAAATTTAAGGATTATGGAATAGAAGAATATACATGTAAATATGCTTAAAAGAAAAGTTATAGATTGATCGAGACATTATGGAAGAACATCATTGTTGAACTTTGAGTATCCTTATAGAATGTCGATGTAATTAGGGATAATTATTAATGAAGATTTATTTTTGTATTGATTGATTGTTTCTTAAATATGACTGTCACGGTGCCACCGACATCGTCTTATCACTCTGGGAGTGGAGAAATCAGCAGGATAAGGTGGTGTGTGTTTTTTTAATCTTCATTGATTATATATTTATTCAATAATGAGATTTACATTATGCAAGTCCTTGGAATTTCATTATCATATCCTGTGTGATTGATGTAATATCATGCAGACAAAAAATTTGGAAATTAATGTCAAAAATGACAATTTTTTTTGGACTTAATAGTTCAACTTTGGGCACTGATATGGGTAATTGAGTCTTTCAAGGAGTGATCATGTTGATTAGTCTTTTTTTTTTGTTTTCTTTCAATTTTACACATCTGATTCTTTTGTTAATTCCTTAAAGCATTTGAAAAATGTGAAAATGTTTATGAGATTTCTAAAAGAGCACTTGGTAGTTACAGATGTGTTAATTAGATCATCCAAGAGAGAGAGAGCTTGAGTCAGAAAGAGCCTGCAAGGGCCCAATAATTTCAGGAATGATTTTCACACAAATTTTAAAAGTTATGTTATATGATTGAATATAGTCATATTAATTGAATGGGATAAAAATCTTTCAAATTCTGTGAAAATTGACCGAAATTTACTAGATCAAGTAATTCAACTGTATTTGACTGATCAGACATGACGTACTACAATGCATAATGATTTTTTAAGTGCTGTACATTCTTCTGATTTAATAAGCTAGCATTAAAAAAAAAAACCCGATTTGGACTACAATAAAATACAAAAAATAGCTTGGTAATATATATATAAACATTTGATATTCATATAACATGTTTATTATCATCTAGTAAATAAGCAGCTTTGAGAGTGCTCCTTTGAGTAAAAAATTATATATATAACAGAATTGGCATCAACATTCTAAGAGTGTTGGAAGCGCATGTGTGCACTTAGCAGTTTTGTAGTTCATGGCATGCTGTTCATGAGGCTTGATAGATTTGTAAGTGTGATTAGGTTGTGTGCAGTAACCCTTTAGATCCCTCTTACAGAGAAAGAAGTGCATTTATGTCAATATTACTGATTATGTAAACTGTGATCACATTCACTAGTGGTTTAATGTTTGTAATAAAGAGACATGCAAATCATTATAGTCTGTGGTTGCATGATTAACAGGAAGAGAAATAAACAGTTTACCTATAAGAATTTAATCCAAGCAAATCAATTAATGGGACATGTGCATCAAAAGGTATGGAAATTTATTTTTATGTGGTTTTCTGAAGTATTGATGCAGCAGCTTTTTGAATGTCAATGGATTCTGAAGTTTTTATAGTGGCACGTTCATATCTGCAATAAACATGATTAAAAAAAAATTATAATTATGTGATGAATCCCGCTGCTGAAGCATTAGTAATGATCAATTTATAGTATTTTTAAAATTAGTAGAAGCTTCTTAATCTAGCAATTGCATGCATGACCATACAACTGCGTTATATTTATTCTGGTTTAAACTCGGAAATCAAATGCTTCTTATAAAAGGTTACTGTTAACACATTCCTTCTGGGCTAACATATGGAAATTGCTTAGAAATCTTGATTGACAATTTATGCAATCACATTCCCGGAACTTTCTGATTCCTGTCTTCCAGATCAATAAATGTTGAAACTGGGTTTCTTCACAAATTTTCAAATGATGAATAGGAATGGTTTTTAATTATTATTTGTTAAAGTGTGAATGTATAATTAGAAGTGCCAATATTAATTGTGTTGATTATTAAAAATTATGAACTATAGATATTATTGATTTGGCAATGATCTCAAAGGGCCCCATGCACTTTTAGTAAAGGACACTAACTAAGATGAAAGTGACTTCAGGACAGATGTATAGTTTGACCTTGACCTTTGACTTACACCTAACCTTTACTATAGATACTCTTTGATTAGGTATGAGTCAGATAGGGCCAATTAAGGGGAGTGGAAATATGCACAAGACAAGGATTTTAAACAGATCAAGATCTGCTAAAACCTTGACCTCTGACCAAGAAACTTATTTTAAGGTCATACTGCACACCCTTTACCAAAGGGCACTCATTATAATGATTGAAGTGAGCTAAATTGCTCCAGCTATATAGAGAAAGCATGCTACAGACAAATGTTTTACAGAGAAATTTTTTTAACCATGATCTTTGATCTGGAAAAGTGGTTCAAAGTCACTTTACAACCTTTAAAATACCAGTGGGTACTGTATCATCTGTGTATGGGTGAAGTATCAACTAGATATATATACATGCAGGGTTAGAAACTCCCTAAAATTACAACTCGCAAATAATTGCGAGTACCAACAAAGTTAACTTTACAATTTTATTTTTCATATAAAGTTAAATTTATACAAATTAAATACATGTACTTTAAGGAAAAAGTAACTACTGTACAATACACAAAATACAACTACAGTGTGACTTTTGTGTGCCAGTGCACATGCAATGTTAACTTTGACTATTCAAATTCAGCTAACAAGTAAAAAAGAACTTCATAGGTGACAGTAGCTGAAAATCATTGCCCAAGTGTTATATTACATACTATACAGAGTGGATGTTTAATTTGCAAATGTCCAATTTTTTTTGGAATGTTGAATTTTGTCAAAATTGAAAAAAAAATAGAGTTGCAAAATGTAATTAATATACTAGGCCTATATTGATCATGTTGATGGTATTCCAAGTTTGAATGGAATCATAAACATTACAACCTAGAAATTACAATCATACAATGAACCTTAAGAATCAATTAATAAATCACAAAATTTTTAGCTACATAAATTACCCTTTACAAACACAGTAGGTCAAATTTGAGATGAACTTCGGTATCTGGAACATGGAAATCTTGAATACCGTGGATATGTCGAAGTGATTTGGAAGTCCCAACCACTTATACTTTTAGTATTTAACCCTCGATATCTCAAACATTCAAATATCTCAAAGTTTTCTCTCAGTCCCATTGAGTTCGAGGTAACAAGTTTGACTGGATTTTCTACCCTTTGTGTAATAATGATTGGTTTGTTTTAATTGGATACGTATCCAACATATACATGATATATGTAACACAGAGATTGTTTAACCACAAATTTCAATTACTAACCCACAGTTTTATATTTGATGTTTATATTTCAATACATCTTTTAAATATTGCTATAAATTATTACAGTACTCCATGAAGAACCACATCCAGACCCACAAACCTCCTTAGACAACATGGTCCTCAGCCCCACAGGACCATTTATTCCTGGGGAGGGGGACTACCAGTATGGACAGTCTGACCGTATGGTCACCAGCACCATCAACGACAAAAAGAAGAAAGGGGCTGGCGTTCCTGGCAAGAGCATCGAGGAGGAATTATGTCGGATTTGTGGGGACCGGGCTTCAGGCTACCATTACAATGCCCTCAGTTGTGAGGGATGTAAAGGTATTATTAGACCTCATTATAATAATTGTATAGAAAGTGTCATTTGATTGGTCTAAACAGTCATGTGACAGAGCAATTAGAACATATATATTTCTTCAGTGGAATAGATATTGTATTCTATCCCTTCTAAAGCATATCCTTTATGTCTCTCATTTCCTGTTAGAGTTATTGTTCTTGTCTGAGAATATCTAGCAGATATTCTTAGAGAATGTCATTTTGTATGCCACTAGTAGGTTTGATTCAGTATAATGAACAATTTATTGCATGATATCGAATGTTTCGGAGATGTGAAGATTTATTCACCCAAGAAAAATTATATTTTTTCATAGGATATTTTTCTTCGGTGAATAAATTTTCTTATAAATATCTCTCACTATCATGCAATAGATGTGTATTGTACAATAAAAGAGTCTGTACACTTTGTAATATGCCAGTGAATACCAGTGTCAATGAACCTTGTTAGTACCGGTACATTCACTTTTTAGCTCATCTGAGCGGAAAGCTCAAGTGAGCTTTTCTGATCACCCATTGTCCGTCGTCCGTCCGTCTGTCCGTCCGTCTGTCCGTCCGTCTGTAAACTTTTCACATTTTCATCTTCTTCTCAAGAACCACTGGACCAATTTTAACCAAACTTGGTACAAAGTATCCTTGGGTGAAGGGGAGTGTAAATTGTTAAAATAAAGGGCCAAGTCCCCTTACAAGGGGAGATAATCAAGAAAAGACAAAAATAGGGTGGGATCATTAAAAAATCTTCTTCTCAAGAACCACTGGGCCAGAAATACTGAAACTTATATGGAAGCATCCTGGGGTAGTGTAGATTCTAAATTGTTAAAATCAAGACCCCCGGGGGTAGGGCGGGGCCACAATAGGGAATCCAAGTTTTACATTGAAATACATAAGAAAAATCTTTAAAAATCTTCTTCTCAAGAACCACTGGGCCAGAAACACTGAAACTTATATGAAAGCATCCTTGGGTAGTGTAGATTCTAAATTGTTCAAATCATGACCCCCGGGGGTAGGGCGGGGCCACAATAGGGAATCCAAGTTTTACATTGAAATACATAAGAAAAATCTTTAAAAATCTTCTTCTCAAGAACCACAAGGCCAGAAAAGCTGAAACTTATATGGAAGCATCCTGGGGTAGTGTAGATTCTAAATTCTTCAAATCATGACCCCCGGGGGTAGGGCAGGGCCACAATAGGGAATCCAAGTTTTACATTGAAATATATAGGAAAAATCTTTAAAAATCTTCTTCTCAAGAACCACTGGGCCAGAAACACTAAAACTTATATAAAGCATCCTGGGGTAGTGTAGAATCTAAATTGTTCAAATCATGATCCCCGGGGGTAGGGCGGGGCCACAATAGGGAATCCAAGTTTTACATTGAAATATATAGGAAAAATCTTTACAAATCTTCTTCTCAAGAACCACTGGGCCAGAAATACTGAAACTTATATGGAAGCATCCTGGGATAGTGTAGATTCTAAATTGTTCAAATCATGACCCCTGGGGGTAGGGCGGGGCCACAATAGGGAATCCAAGTTTTACATTGAAATATATAGGAAAAATCTTAAAAAATCTTCTTCTCAAGAACCACTGGGCCAGAAAAACTGAAACTTATATGGAAGCATCCTGGGGTAGTGTACAGTGCTGCTATCCCACAAGTTGACATGGGATGGGTTTGGATAGGATTCAGGATTGAGGATTCACGATAGAAACATATAGTAGTTAATCCAATCCAATCCTATCCTATCCTATCCTGTATCCTACAGCCAATCAGATTCGAGTAAAGGTTGATTCATATTTCAGAATTAATTACAAAAACAGAATATGTTTTAAAACGTTTACAAAAGAAATATTTATAAAATTACGATAGAAAATAAACATATTTTGTTTATTTTAACACAAATTAATAATTAACTTCGAGTGACATTGCGTACGATTTAACCGTGACCGATTACCGGAAGAATCTTCACATGTAAACAACGAAGAGTTCGGACATCAAGAGATCTTATTTTCTTCAGCATGTAAAGCCATGTTTGGATGATTAAGCCAATTCCTACTTTTTTTAAAGTTCAATAACATGTAACTGTGTTAAATGTGCTCTGTTTGTCTGGATAATTCTACACAAACCGCCAACGGCGGACTTGAACAGATCGATATCGAAGTTGTTTGGTGCAAGAACATGTAAGTATACTACACACTGTACATGTGTGCATGTTTATACATTTCCCCCTTTTAACAATGTTATAATGACTTGAGCTATCAAAATTTTATTCTGTTATAACATAGACGAAAATCGGGTGTGGAAAAATAGGTAGTGTAGGAAGGGGAGAGGGTTAAAAATTTACAAATTCTCTGTCATGATTCAATGTGTCCTAAAACAATAAGATGTATTATGCCTTTTTCAGTTTGTTATTACTATATTATTTCCCAACTGTGGTTTAAAAAAATGTTTTTTTTTATTTGAGTGCAATTATAATAAAATAAAGACAGAATCATATCTTATGCTACTGTTTAAATTGTATCATAAGCCAACTCAGCACTTACATGTACATTGTATGTATGACCTATTCTGGGTTATGAATTATATTAATCATTCATTATTCTTCATTGCAGATAATGATACTTGGTTTTTCCTGCCCTCATCAAAATATTTTGTGAGGAAAAAAGGATTTTACATTTGAAAAGTAGGTATGATTATTAACATGTGTTTATGCATGGGTATCAGTATAATACATACATATCATTATCAGAGTTGAGATGAAGTTTCTGTGTAGATTCTCTGAATAAGTGATTTTTCTTCTTTAAAAAAAAAAGAGTAAAACTGAAAACAGTTTGTTATTGTTCTGGTCATCTGACATGGTCATCATCATATGTATTTTCATAATTTTTTCTTATTCAAATTTTAAGCAAAGAAGAAAACAAACAAAAAAACATAAATAGATTAATACTAGCATTAGAATTCAAAATAGAGAAAAAAAAAACAAACAAACAAATGTACTTATACTAGTTAACAAGTTGATGAGATGAAATGAATTACAATTTACAAGTAAATTATGATTGTTTAATTAAGATATGACTATGAAGTTGCAGTATAAGATTTGAGTTTGCTTGATTTCTTTAAATTCTTTACTCTGGGAGAGAAAAAAGGTAAAATTCAGCCAGTCGTACATGAAATGAGAAAGATAATCACAATAAAATACAGTTTTAATGTATAATGTATATGACAAAAATGCACATGCATATATTGTTATAATCATGATAATAATTGGGTTTTTTTAGGACGATCCTGCATATTTGCTGCTGTACATATTGCAGTTCATCTCATCTGCTGCTGGAATAAATATGAAAGATGTTCAAACCACTAAACAAGAGCCCCCTAGAGTCTGAAATCATGATGATTTTATTAAGGAGATCAGTGTGTGAAGTATTTGTTTTCTGTGCATTGTTGACAATTTTGAAACTGTTCGGTTACTTATGAATAGCTCTTTGACACAAACTTTGACATTTGAAATTCAATTTGAGCGACGGACAAGGAGGCGAAATCATATATATGCATGTAAAACATCATACAATTGGAAAAAGACATTGATAAACTTAAATTTAAACAGATTTCATGTACATGTATCTGTGAGCTTGGAATTGAAATACATGTATACTTCTGATGAATTTGTCTCATAATGGAACATTCAATTGTTATACATTGTAGATAAAAAAATAAAATTGTAGATGAGATTTATATATATTTAACACTGAAGAGGCAATTATCCTGAATAAATATTGTCAACTTGGTCAAGCATTTTTGTTCCTCATTTAGACCCAGAATAACATTCAAGATCAAATGTCAAGGTCAAAAACAAAATTTACTTAAATATGGCTTATAAATACTGAAACTACTGTGAATTCATATACATGTTTTACAAGAAAGAATTCGAAGGAATATGTGTGTGTTCACTGCAATAATTATTGCTGTCAATCTATCTATGAAGATTTATGAAAATGTTTTCTGTTAAACATAAATAAAATTCTCACTCATAAAAATATGGTTATTGAAATACATTTGCATGACACTGAACTGACCATAAACTAAAAACAAAGTGAAGTAAAATAAGAAAATTTAACATTTTGAATATCTTGATTTTTATTTAGCAAACATGATAAAGTTTTTGCATATTTGTAAAATATTCAAATTCAAACAATGATGAACTGAACATCTCAAACAAGAATAACTTTAAACAATGAATATAAAACAAATTTTAATCATACATTTAAATAATTTTTACATGTTTAATGAATAAAAGTCAAGATATTCTAAATGTCTGTTCTCGGTTTATGGTCTTGTCATACATGTATCTTCTTTCTGGATCTACATGAGTATGAAGGTATAGACATTAATAGTCTAATTCTCATAATTAAAGAGCTTAAATTTTGTTGTTTAGTCTACTTATTAATAATCATAACATTAGAAAAGTATCTGAAGTCTTAGTTGTTGTCCCCCCCCCCCTTTTTCCACGATTTCTTCTCTCTAACTTTAACTCCATTTATTTATCAAAGTGTATAAATTCGAAAAGAAATCGCAAATACCGTGACGTCTCTCGATCATTGTTAGTATGTGAAATTAAATTAAAAAAAAGTCGGATTATAATTTTTTTTCTATAAATTTTTTGAAAGCTTACTTTCTTTACACGTTCGCTAGATCAGTACTTGCCTATGTTTTATTACAGTCCCTTTGTTTACATTTTAACTCGGTACTCGAATATTAATTCGTGCGGGGTGTCGGGAATTAATGGATGTCGATCTCGATTATTTTTTATCATTAAAACATATTAAATAAAATCCATAATTATAACTGATTTTTATATAATGGTCATTTTATTATTTTTTTTTTTCTCGTTTTGTCAAATTAACTCCTAAATATTAAAAAACTGAAAGTAGCAGGATAGGATAGGATAGGATTAGACTGAAATCACAGGATAGGATTGTGGATGCAGGATTCACGATAGGATAGGATAGGATTGTCAACTTATAGGATAGCAGCACTGTAGATTCTAAACTGTTCAAATCATGATCCCCGGGGGTAGGGCAGGGCCACAATAGGGAATCCAAGTTTTACATTGAAATATATAGGAAAAATCTTTACAAATCTTCTTCTCAAGATCCACTGGGCCAGAAACACTGAAACTTATATAAAGCATCCTGGGGTAGTGTAGAATCTAAATTGTTCAAATCATGATCCCCGGGGGTAGGGCGGGGCCACAGTAGGGAATCCAAGTTTTACATTGAAATATATAGGAAAAATCTTTACAAATCTTCTTCTCAAGAACCACTGGGCCAGAAAAACTGAAACTTATATGGAAGCATCCAGGGGTAGTGTAGATTCTAAACTGCTCAAATCATGACCCCCGGGGGTAGGGCAGGGCCACAGTAGGGAATCCAAGTTTTACATTGAAATATATAGGAAAAATCTTTACAAATCTTCTTCTCAAGAACCACTGGGCCAGAAAAGCTGAAACTTATATGGAAGCATCCTTGGGTAGTGTAGATTCTAAATTGTACAAATCATGACCCCTGGGGGTAGGGCGGGGCCACAATAGGGAATCCAAGTTTTACATTGAAATATATAGGAAAAATCTTTAAAAAATCTTCTTCTCAAGAACCACTGGGCCAGAAATACTGAAACTTATATGGAAGCATCCTTGGGTAGTGTAGATTCTAAATTGTTCAAATCTTGACCCCGGAAGGTAGGGCGGGACACAATAGGGAATCCAAGTTTTACATTGAAATATATAACTTAAAGAAAAATCTTTAAAAATCTTCTTTTCAAGAACCACTGGACCAATAAAGCTGAGACATATTTGGATGCATCCTGAGGTAGTGTAGATTCTAAATTGTTCAAATTTTGACCCCCGGTGGTAGGGCGGGGCCACAATAGGTATATTATAAAAGGGGGAAATCTGGTAAAGAACAGCATGGCCAAAGTTACTCAGGTGAGCGATGTGGCCCATGGGCCTCTTGTTACATTTTTGAGGTGCATTGCTACTTGTGGTCTACCCTCCATGGATTGCATTTACACTGAATCGAGTTGATTCTGTAAACCAACTATTAAGACTTTATATTTATTAGTGGATTTTTCTTGCATATAAAATAAAGTTAATTTACAGTAACTACCCTAAGGCTTATGCATTAATTCGGAAGCAGTGGCCAGTTAAGCCAACTTATTTATTCAAGCAATCAATATAAATCCTGATTAATACTCAATGTACTAAAAACACATTTCATAAGTTATTTTTTATGGTCATGTTACTTCTTTGCTTTCTCCTTGATGATATGTAGATTACTGCATTAGATTACAGCATAAATATTGACAAAGTGCTGCGAGATTACGTACAGCATAAATTGACCTTGGGTTTGATTTACCACTGCTTTCTGGTGGTTTTATAACTGGTTTTTATAACCGTGCCAGATTAATATCTCAGACAAAAAAAAGTTCAAAATGAGAAAGTCACCAAAAAATGTCAATCAAGCTATCACCAGATTATAGGCATGCAATCTAAAAATGAGATATTGTGCATATAATAGCTTTACACAATCAGGGTTTGACACTAATGGTAGCCTACTAGCCCAGGACAACTGAGAATTGACAGTTTAGGTACTGAAAAAGTTATCAAGCTTGCCCTACAGGGCTTCTGCCACACACACACCGAAAAGAAGCAAAACTTCAATCATGTTAATAAAAGAAATGTTAAATGCAAACTCTTGATTTGGTATTAAGGTTTCAGTACTGTAAGTCAGACTAACCAATTTTTTATGACACTTATTTTTCTTGGTTCAAACTATATGAATTTTACTCTTCATCAGAAATATGTTTGAAACTATGAGGTAAAAACAAAGAAAAGCTGAGGCAATACATTGATGAAGATGATTGAAAAATGTCTTTTTACTTGCATTCGTAAATTGACATTATTATATTGCTCTAAACTATTAAGTCAGAATGTGGGATTTGGCATCATTTTCTAAAATTTCTGGGGGAGGACCCCCATACAGCCCCTCCCCCTAGCAAGTGGAGGAAACCCTGTTATGCAACTTGGCCTGCAAGGGTGTTTGGTTGCTAGACAACAAATTCATGAGTGGGAAATCAAAGACTCTATAGGTAAATGTTAGTGTCTACCCCTGACAAACTTTTTACACATAATGATACTATATAAGCACAATATCTGAATTAATGAAGCCTTAAACAGAAACAAATGTGAATTGTCAGTAATTTAGTATCACCCTAAGATTAATTTAAGAAATAAAGTCCGCGTTATCGTGAATGTTGCAGGATAACCTCCGAGGTCGAGAAATGTTGTCTGAAATATAAAAGCCGAGGCGTTAGCCGAGGCTTTTATATTTCAGACAACATTTCGAGACCGAGGAGGTTATCCTGCATCATTCACGACAACAAGGACTTTATTTCTATTCTACTAACGGCTCTAAAATACAGTTGATCGTTTTCTCTATAGAGAAACGAATTAGGTCACCACGTCGCAATTTCGCTGTTCCATTTAACACCAGAGGGTCAATCGATTGCATAAAATGCAGACGATTTCAGCTTTTGCTGGATTAAAAATATCCTTTAATTATTTATAAATTTGCTTGTAACATAGATTGATTAATTTTTATGAATGAAAAATAACAAAACCAGTTGTCTATTTCATTGATTTGATCAGTAAAATCACGGGAGTGTAAATGTTATGGGGAGGTCCGTAGAACAGCCCCACTTGGCTATAAAAACGGATATTTATCAGCCGTTTCAGGCAATACACACGTTTAGACTGCGGAAGACGACATATCGATGTGGTCTAAATAAGTATTAGATTATACAGTGAAATATTTATTTCAACTGTACAGATTTGACATGTGTTTCTGATCTGATAATTTTTTGATGACGTTCGTGATTTATTGGAGAATAATGTCCGCGGCATTTCTTTGATCTCGGCAATTATCGTAGTAGAATTTAAATTATATCTATATATATAGTTATTGTATATGTTTTATTATGATAATTTATGAACCTGAAATAATTCATCTTTGTCTTTATTATTGGCTTATGTTGCAAGGATCCCGTCCTGAACAAATTCACGGAATAATTTAGTTTGACAAGTGGTTTTAATTTCGTTTCTGGAGACATGTAAAATACATCGCCATTTAGATTGCATAAATCATCAATAGATCAACTTGATCATTTGTAACTGGAATAATTTATCAGAATACCATAAACATGATAAGCGCTGCAAAAATCAATTCATAAAAATATCAAAATAATGCACATTCTTTGATTTACATCAATAATTCATGTGTACCTAAAGAGAAGTTTCATTGATATAATCAGTGAATGTCAAGTTATTAACATTGACTAAATAGGAGAGATGCACAGGTAATGATCGACTTCAAATAGCAGCTTTTCTAATGTTTTCTCAACAGTTTAAGGCAAGTAGGCTTTTGTCTGAAGTAGCTGCAGAACTGTAGCTCTCCGAAAAAAAAAAAAAAATTGACAGACCGGAGAGCTACAGTGCCACCCATAGAAAAAACTGTATATTTATTGTGCACAAAAAAGTGCGCTGTTTCTAGATTTATTTCTCTGTATTTTTAAACTGCAATCTCAAAATATTACTGACCGTGTGTTCTTAACAAATTTTTGCACTATTCCCACATCAAAACATTTCCTATAACCCTTGTTTATAGCCCTCCTGGGCCTGAAATTAAGACCATCCAAACTTTCGCCTGTTTATATTGCCATTTTGGGTGGCTAGACAATTTGGCCAAATGCGCTTCGTAAAGATGTCAACTACAAGAGTAGTTGATAGAGGTCTAAGGAGTTTTTTGAAATCGAGCTTTTGTGCAGTTGAGGTAAGAATTTGGAGAAATAAATCAAGAAATGAGTGCAACTTTCTGTGTGCAATAAATACACAGTTTTTTCTGGGTGGCACTGTAGCTCTTCAGTTTGTCAATTTTTTGTTTTGGAGAACTACAGTTCTGCAGCTATGTCTGAAGCTGCAGATTTTTGACAATGTATGAACATCCCAGTAAATTCATAGGCATTCTTATTGATAGATCTGAACTTTATATCTAGAACATTGATATCACAAATACGTTGGATATGTTGAAGTATGGTGAAAACCCAACCGCTTGTGACCTCAACATCTCGGTTCCTCAAATATCTTAAAATTTTGATTTTTTCTTGGCCCAATAATTTCAAGATAACGAGATTTGACTGTATAATTGGTCTGAATTTCACTACAAAGTGGTCTCGTTACTTGGAACTACTTTTGTCTGGATAAGTCAAGCTCATCATTTAGGCTGGGATTGGATTTTGTGAAAGCTTAATTTTTATGTAAACATGGTAAAGTATCAAACTGTTACCTTTTTCTTGAAAATATATTTTCATGGGAATGTAACGTTTGTAATGCTTGATATTTTGAAATTTAAATTTTAGTTTAATTTTAGGTTATAGATACGTAATTTGGAGTCTATGTTAGATTTTTAAATTAAATTTGCAGGTATTTCAAAAATGATCCATGCATTTTCTTTTATTCATTACAAAATTGTAGATTCTGAAATGTACATGTAGCAGTTAAACAACAATATATATTTTTCAGGATTCTTCCGTCGCAGTATTACAAGAGGTGCTACTTACAATTGTAAATATGGCGGAAATTGTGAAATGGACATGTGGATGCGACGGAAATGTCAGTCTTGTCGCCTCAAAAGATGTCGAGAAGTTGGCATGAAAGAAGAATGTATGTAAATTTTAAAAGTTGAAGGGAAATTTCATTACCGTATAAGGGAAATTTTTGCCTCCATTTTATTTTCGCCCTACACACAAGTGGGCAAATTAAAGAGGGACGAATTCAAAGAAGACAGTATAATTTCTTAAAGAGAATTGTGACTGGGCAAATTTGAAATGAGGCAAAATTTTTGCAAGTATGAAAGGGCGAAAATAACCCTGTATACAGTATGTAGATTTTATTAAACAAGAGCTGGTTAAGTAAATTTTAAGTAAGCAAAGGTCCAGTCTGAACCTGTCTATAAAAGCAAAGAAGATGCTTCTTTAATTCCCATAGTATTGAAAGGTTACGACACAATGGATATAATGTTGTTGTTGACAAATACATGCAGTCAAATACGATGGCCGATAGCGGCCGACAATTTACACTAACGTTATGTGTGTGACATGTACAGCATTTTCACTGAAAACTCACTGACACATTACACCTAAAAGGAAAAGTGTACAAAGTGTACAGTGTCAAACAAATTCCGTGTACACTCTACACCAAAGTTATGTGTGTAAAGTGTCAGAAAAACTTTCAGGGACACTCTACATCTAAAGGTGAATCAAGATTCAAAACGGAACCAGACGTGTTTCTTTGCGTTGCTCCCGCAAGGTGCCTCTTGAAGTTCACATAGATCTGGCCCCAAGACCAATAAACTGCGAATAGATTTAAGTCAAAATTTCAAACCAATATAACTTTTGAAATAATTTTGATATTGAAACCAAATTTTCATCATATATTCCAGTTTAAATGTTATATAAAATTGCAAATTTTTAAGCAACAATATAAAAAAAAATTCAAGATGCTAAAAAATCAAAATTTTGACTTAGGTCTATTCTCATTTTATGGTTTTGGGGCCTGAGGAAATGCTGGCAAATTAAGTTCTTTGGTAAATAATCAGTAAAGAGCAAAATTAGTATTTTATGAAAGGTTTAAAAGGGTCATCAATTAAATTACAGGTACTTAATCAGATCATGATAATAACTATCGAAAATGCTATTTAGGACACAGCTTGGAAAACGGATCAGTCTGCCAGTAGGAGAGGTACATCAGCATTCAAATTTTCCAGTCAAAAAATGGAAAGCGATAATTATCACACAATATAAAACAATTCTTGTTTTCATTTCACATTGTAAATATTACTGCTAAGTAAAAGAAAATGATTCACTATATATATTTTGAAATGTATTATAACCTTTCATCCATATTTACTAGAAACAAGATTTTTCACTTCCAGAACTATATGAACTGTTTGATATCTTCTACTGGACAGACGCATTTATTTAGCCATTTCCTTATAGCGAAAATATAAATAAAAATTACTTCAGGTTTATGTGAACATCAAGAGGCACTTTGAGGGAGCAGCACGATAAAGAAACATTGGATCTGTTTTGAATCTTGATATCACCTTTAGGTGTAGAGTGTACATGAAAGTTTTACTGACATTTTACACATAAAACGTTGGTGTAGAGTGTACATGAAATTTGCTTTGACACTGTACACTTTGTACACTTTTCCTTTTGGGTGTAATGTGTCAGTGAGTTTTCATTGAAAATGCTGTACATGTTACACACATAACGTTAGTGTAAATTGACGGCCGCTATCGGCCATCGTAGTCAAACCTGTCTTCGACGACATGCACTGGGAGACAAATTTTGTGTCAGATTAGAACAGGGTGTCAGATTGTACAGTGTTAAGATCATGGGAAATAGTAAAATTGGACTGAAGATTAAGGATTGAATTCACAGTGATTTAGATTTTTTTAAAACATGGATATAACTAGTGCTTTTGAAAGAAAATAATTACAATGCATAAAGATCTTAGCATATGTCTAGTAAATTTTTGAAAAGTTTGGATCTTTATCAAATGTTAAAAAAATAAACTTGAAACAAATATGAGCTAACAGCTTTGCACTTTAACAAAAGAATGTTCATCTAAATGTTTTACTCCAATATTTTTTTTTACTATATGCATTAAACATCTGCAAGTTATGATTATTCTAAAAGCAGAGAGGCTTAGTTTGCATTGCAAATAAACATCCATAAGTTAATTTGTTAAGGAATTATTCCACAAGTGTTGGTCTGACCAACCTCATTCCTGCTGTTTTGCTAGACATGAATGATGCATTTGAGAATTATGTAACCTGTAATGTTTAACATGATGTTAATAATATGAAGATTAGTTTTATTTTTAATATCCAATGCTTGGGTCTTGTTTGGATGTGAAGCAGTATGTTTCAGTTAATCCTCTTGTTCCTCAGTTTATCATGTTTATAGTACATAGATTAAGTTACTTATATTACAAGAATTGACCAATAAGCCCTGATTTAAATCAACTGTCTGACTCTAAGACTTCAGATACAGTCCCTGAAACGTTCTACTTTCCCACTTGAACGGTGAGCGAACGCTGAACGAACGGTGAACGAACGCTGAACGAACGCAGAGCGAACGGTGAGTGAACGATGTGTGAACGCTGAACGCAACTTGGTGAACGATGTGTGAACGGTGAACGGTGAGCGAACGCAGAACGCGAACGGAGCGCAAACGCGAACGCAAAGTGAACGGTGAACGAACGGTGAACGCAAGATGAACGATATATTCGGAATGCCTCTGATCTTTTCCTTGCATTGAAACTATTTTATTGTATTATAATGTCAGGTGCAAAAAAAAAACAAAACAAAACAAAACAAAACAAAACAAAAAAAAAAAAACAAAAAAAAAAAAACAAAAAAAAACAAAAAAAACAAAAAAAAACAAAAAAACAAAAACAAATAATATATAAGTAAACAAATTAATGAATGAATAAATAAGTCAATAAAATAAATTCTCCAAAATTGTCCTAAGAAAGACGATGCATGCACATTAAGTTTTTAATCACACGATTTTTATCGCATTTAAACATTGCAATTTTTGCCGAACGCTGAAGTATAAAAGATATTGTTTTTAGTTGGAAAATAAAAATGTTTATTCTTATTTGATAACAAATCAGAGAAAACTTATGATATATAGAATGAATAAAAGCGGTTGTAACTTATATTCATATATATATATCTTCGTGTCAAGGCGATTTCGTGTAAAGTAATGAAAAAAAAATTAATTACATTTATACGCTCGTATTTTAGATTTTTAATACAATAATATATTATGTGTCATTTCTATTTTTCAATATGATTTATTGAGCAGACGTCTACATGTATCTCTAGATGGCCGTGATTATTCTCGGACAAGATGATACAAAGATACATATTCATATTATTTGTTATAAATTCAATTTTCAGAACATGATATTTAAGTAATATGGTGTTATAGTTTTTATTAAACAGACAAGAGAGAGAGAGAGAGAGAGAGAGAGAGAGAGAGAGAGAGAGTACTATTCAGTTTTAGCCCCCCCCCCTCCTTTCAGGCTTCACCAAATGTTTGTACCTATATCAAACAAAAACTCTGAATTTTTTTTTCTAAATATATCAGACAGTGAAAGTAACTTTTTTTTTTTATCAACAAATCATATCCATTTGTTTGACAGTCATACTCGTTTTTGTTTTCCTGCTTCAAGTTCACACGAAGTCCACGTGCTTGTCCTGTCAATCAAAATCAATCGACACTGTACAGGTGTGAAAGTTTCGTCACATCGAAGACGAAGTGCGAGTATTTCCAACAAGCTATAACATTTATTTTTATCATTTCTAGATTTGATTCCAATATTTGAATAATAAATTAGTAAAATACATTGGGCATTAACACTTGAATGTGAAACATACTCTCTGCCAATTTCAAATACCACCGACGACACGTGTACATTTTGATCTACTATTATTTTGTGACTTTTTTAGATGCATGTTTGATTTGAGACTGAAATTTTTGTTCTAAAAAAGACCGTACCTTTTTTTTTTTAAATGTTAATTAAAATATTCTGGAAATACGGTACTGACTAAGTCACCGATTTAGGGGGAAAGGGGGGGGGTATTAATCATATCGAATGGCAAACATATAAAGTTACGGTGAAGAAAGATTTTTTTTTCTCTATAACTCTAGACTTTACATATTACAGTAGAGAAATTCTGTAGTGCATTACATTTTAATTAAATATTTCCTTTAACCACACTATCATTTTAATTCGTTCTTAAGATAATAAATTAACAGGATATCCGCAGTACTATGTATAACTCTCAGAACTAGTTCTATTATATTTTCTGTAGTAATTGAAAAAAAAAGCGTAATAGAAATAAATATTTTCGTAATTTTGCTGTGTAATTATTTGACTTGAATAATTATATCTCCATTAACGATTTGTCGTCTTTAACAAAACAACAAAATGTTGCAGTGCTTGAAGTATTTGCACATTGCCATTAGTTAAATTTAACATTTCAACATCGTTCTTCATAGGTACAGAATGTGCTTGTAACAACATTTATTTTCCAGAGTAATTTAATAAATAACCTAACAGCAAAGTTAGAATAATAAAAATATATATCGTAGATATTTTTCCTCATGAAATAATGATTCTTCAAACACGATATGTCAGTTAATAAATTAAAAAAAACCTGTAACTCCCTAACTACAAAAAGATAAGTCCTTTCACTTCGGAGTTCCGAATGACAATGAAAACTGAACGATAGGTGAACGCTGAACGCAAGGTGAACGCAAAGTGAACGGAACGAAGAGCGAACGCTGAACGCTTTGTGAACGGTGAACGCGAGCGCACGGTGAACGGTGAACGCAAAACTGTGAACGGAGAGCGAACGGTGAACGCACGGTGAACGAACGGTGAACGCACGCTGAACGAACGGTGAACGAACGGTGAGCGAACGGAAAAATGGGAAAGTAGAACGTTTCAGGGACTGTAATAAGGTGAAACTGATTTTCGGCCCCCAGAAAAGTTTTACATATAAGCACATGTCTGCTCTACCTTTCAAGGGCTCTTCAATGATTTTTATTTTTTTAACAGAGTCTTAGCTCTCTTTTTCCAATACTTAGAAAACTGACATGCTGTGAATCTCAGATGCAAGATTAAATTTCCCAGCTGTCAGATTTGACACAGCTTGTAGACTGTCTTATAAAAATTAGATATGTGATCTACATATCATGCAGGGTTGGCTTATTCACTAATATCTGCAAGGTAATAGGATTAGTTAGTTACATTTATTTATCATAGCCAAGACAGGGGACAGTTTTTATATGAGAGACTTCTCAATAAGGGAGAGCTGTCAGATTTTACAAGAAAAACATGTTCAGTCCTAGATACTGGACATATCATTTTTGCCTCATTTGGTTTTAGATAAGTCTGCATAGTTATTTAAAAGAGGAAAGGCAACATTTATATTTTTGGTACACATGTAGAATTTTGAGGACAAAATACATGTATACAGTAAAACACAGTTATAACGAACATGCTTATAATGAATTGATGATTATTATAAAGTGATTTTCATTCCCCTTGGCTTTTAAATGTAATGTGAACTTAACGGATATAATGATCGAATTACATTTTTAATGAAGCAAAATTGTCCATCCCTGGCACTTTGTTATAAGCGTGTTTCACTGTACAGTGTTTGTTAAAAATCAGAGATGCTTTCAATCCCATTTAGTGCTTGATTGAAATTGTTTAAATTTCACAAATACAGAAATAAATTTTTATTAAGAAGTTCTTTAAGATATATTTTTTTGAATTTATGTTCCTTTTAGAATATTTTACTCTTATTTGCATGGCACTAAAGGAGGGCATCAAAATTAATAATTTGATAGGGAAAATTTTTTTTTAAAATATTGTTAAAATTGACCACAATTCATTTACTAGGTGAAAAAACTTTATGTAGAATTGCAGAAATTAAGCACTCGATGAACTTTGGACTATAACGGAGTTATTATGAACAGGAAGTATATGAGTTCTTTTTTGCATATATATGTACGGAGCAAGAAATTCATCGTTACCATTTATAAAACACATAATATATATTGATCAAATACCTAAGGCATGAATTACACAGAATGTTCTCTGTTTTGAAATTATTCCACAGATAAACTGTTCTAGAAACACTACAGGGGACAAGCTACTTAATGTACTTGTGTTTTTTTTTAATCTCTGATCAAATGGCATCCTTCAACTGACACAATAAACTAGAAAAAAACGAGGCTCAATTTTTATAGTGATTGCAGTTCACAAATAGAAAAAAAAGTATTGCTGCCTCGATCATTTATATGTTTTACCTTTATTAGATAAGATTATTGTTCAAAAAATTCTGATATTAACTTATTATAGGAATGTAAAACTGTGATAATGCCTTAATTATCATGCTTTTCTAAAAACTTTTATTGTTGCTTTTTTTTTTTATCTAAATTTGAATTTAGATATTGATAAATTTAATTTTTGTTGTACATTTGATGTCTCGTCATCATGGTCATACTGATGCTTTAGTTAATGGCACTAGTAAGGATGTACATTAATCTCTTACGTGTGCTGGAAATTGCCTGTCATAAATCCTTTGCTTAGTCAACTGGGTATCCTTCATCAATATCACTTCCTGTTTTGACACAATCCTTGAAGTTCGCTTCAGGGTGTAAATTTCAGAAAACTTCAAATTGAGAAAGTAATTATATCATAAAATGAATATTTTAATGAGCAAAAACATTAGCTTGAACAAGAAAATATTTTGCTATTTTTAACACCCCCCCCCCCCCTTCTGCCATCCAACCAATCAGTCAAGGTCTTCGTAGACCTGTATAGGCATGGCAGATTATTTGTTGGTGCAAGATTCCTTTGACCGAGCAGAAAAAATTCTTGTCACTTTTACAATAAACAATAAATATGTAATAGGTTTGTCACCTTACATAAATGCATGAAAATCCTGAAATCCTGAGAAGACTTTCATCAGAACATATTAATGTTATCCTTGACAACTTCCAGTAAAAAGTTTGTTAGATATATCTTCAACATATTTGTTACATACATTTTAAAGACATAACAGATTCCAAGTTTTCATATTTTGCATAGAGATCTACAAACCACTCTTTTTGCATGTCACGTACGTTTAAAGGGCTACACGTCATATATTGAATGAGATAAATAGAACATCTATAATTTTGTGATTTTATATATCTGCTTTATCCAACTTGTTGAAATGGTGAATATTAATTTTTGTTTGACAAGCTTCTCAAATATACACCATTTCAACTCACTGGATAAAGCAAGTATAAATCAAATCACACAATATAGGATATATCCTCTATATATTTTGCCCAAGGAAATATGACCCTACATGGACGATGACAATGAATTGGCAAGTACAACTGCACCTTTTTAATCTGGATTTTTGTGCTCCCAAGAATTTAATTTTGCAGATTAAGGAAGCATCCAGATCACATACTTGATATCTATAAATATAAATTGTCCTCCACAAATTTGGCCCTGAAGGTAAAGTGTCCAAATTATTGATGTCTGGATTAACTTAAGTCCACTGTACATTTTCTTCTAGTTTGTTAGATTCTGATGAAAACTTGCTAAGCCAAATAGCTAAAATATAAGTTGGTGAAAAAAGTAGACTAGGTGCTTAATGACTCTATACTTTCATTCTTCTGTGTAGGTCTCCTGTCAGAAGAACAGTGTAAAGCTAGAGACGCAAGAAGGAAAGCCAAACAACGATATACTCAAAATGTTCAGGAAGACAGACCCGAAAAGAAGCCAGCCTTAAACACGGAATGTAATTCAAACTCAGGGGAGGGGTTTGAGAACAAAGCTTCCAGTGCACCGGAGGTTAAGTTCTCTTCCACGCTATCACCTTATGCCATTATAGACACTCGGCCTATTCACTCAGTCTCAGAAGACACACGGAAGCTGATTGAGAAACTGGTCAAACTTCAGGACAAATATGAGTTTCCTGAGGAGTCCAAAGTTGACGATGCTATAGTAAGTGGGCTCTATAGGTTTTTAGGAAAACATAAACCCAAGGCTTTTGATTCTAATGTGTACCAGAAACATAAGTACCAGCAACAAAGTGAAACAGCTTAATATCATCTAAAACTGTTTATAAGTAAATTGGTCTGCATGGACCCAATGGTTGTAGGGTCAGGTCTAGTAAAAAATGTTTGAAGTAGTTCAACTGCTCTATTACTCCAAAAAGTAAATGTTGAACACTATTTTTTTTTTTAATATAATTATGCTTACAGTAAATCTTGGTTATTAAGAACTCTGTTAAAATGAAATCTTGGATACAAGGAATTTTTTTTATGAATTCCCCATTTAACTTTTTACTATATGTTACTCAAAAGGATATAAAGAATCTCAGATGAAATATGGAGATAACGAACAGTATTCAAGCTCAAAGTTCATTAAAACAATACAAATCGGGAGCAGAGCAAACACGGGCCTCCAAAAAACAGAGGTAGGACCAGGTGCCGTGGAGGAGTGAGCATCCCCTGCCGACCGGTCACGCCAGCCGTGTGCTCCTTGTCATGATCGGAAAAATCCCTCGACAGTTCAGTGTATAAATAATGGCCTAACACAACAGATATAAGAAAGTAACACATATATGATGTCCCAGTGATTTCCTTGTAACCATGCAAGTTTTACCATATATTAGAAGGAATTTTAAAGCTTACTTTGCTGTCAAGAGAGTATTTAATTTGTTGCCTATGGGTTTTTTTTGAATTGCAAATTTTTGTTCATTTAATTGGTAAAAGCCTGATTTGTAAGGAGTGATTCTACAAAGATTCGATAAATAATTAACTCTAACAGATATCTAAAAGATAAAAATGCATGCTAGAGTTTACCAAAAACTAAACATAACCATCTACAGTATTAATTTGGAATCTGTAATAACTTTATGTACAATGTAGAAAAATAAATGCTAGGCATGTAAGATCAATTTTGAAAGTATAAAGAAAAAAATTGGCAACTTACCTGAAAAAATGTTGTACCTAGCTAACTAAAAAGAGGAGAATTCTCTAAACTACAAATGTTATTATGGGGGGGGGGGGGATCTATTAACTTGGGGGAAGGGGGGGAGGGAGAGGCAACCGTTTAATGAAATTTTTATACTGCATTAATTGTGTAAATTTGGGTTCGGAAAAAAATGATATGCCTGGATGTTATATTCACCTGGGTGAATGTCAACTGCAAGTGAAACAACTTTCAAGAACTATTTGTGTCTATTTGGAAGTTCACTTTTTTTTAGTCCAGTGTAGCATAAAATAAATCCTTAGGTTCACCTTGAAGATCATGTGCAGGTGAGCTAATGTCTACAATGCTGGGTCTCAGCCAATATGAGAGCTAGGAATTATTCAATCAAATAATAAATGCTATTATCTCTAATGATATACCCCATGTGAATTATGTAGTTTTTTTTTAAGTAATATTAAGCTAAAAATAAATCCAAAATAAGTTTCACACAGAGAGGAAGTATTGACTCACCTAATAGAAAGTTGTTTTATCAGATTCTATAGTTGTGCAAATCAATAGGAAGCTATCTAGCTAAAGACTTGTGACAATCATTCCTTGCTTCGGCACCTGAGACCATTTCTAATGTCGATAGGGATTAGAGGCGAAGGTTGTGAATTTATTAAGGTCTATCAATCAATAAGTTACTGGCTTGTTTGGAAAAGTCGTTGTTTCTGCAGGCAACAGGTTTTGAGTGTGATTGTATATATTTATTTACATCATTTGAATGGATCATTACGTAATTAACTGTACATGCAATGCCTTTGCAAAAAAAAAAAAAAAAGGGAGAAACAGAAAAACAAACAAATGAAAAACAAGATGTGTTTGTAAAACACTTCTGCCCCTGTATGGCAACTTATAGGAAAGGTTAAACTTTCTCAAATGCCAATCAAATATGTTGGTACCCAAAGTAAGGTCTTGTCTTGAGGAATATACCCTGTGAAATATGAAATCCCTAGCAGCAACGATTGAATAGATATGGAAAGGGTTAAAGTTTTTCAAATGTAAGTCTAACATCAAGGTCAAGATCAAATGGTCAAAATTAATGGTGCGCAAGGAAAGGCATTCTCACATGAAATATACATGTGAAATATTAGAGTCGTAGCACCAATCATTCAAAAGTTATGGCCAAGGTTAAAGTTTTCCAAAAGTAGGTCAAACTTCAAGGTCAAAGAGTCAAAGTTGTTGGTATCCAAATGAAGGTCTTGCCACAAGGATTACATATGTGAAGTATGAAAGCCATAGCACAAACCGTTCAAAAGTTATGGCCAAGGTTGAAGTTTTGCAAAAGTAGGTCAAACTCCGAGGTCAAGGTCAAAGAGTCAAAGTTGTTGGTATCCAAAGGAAGGCATTGTCACAAGGATTACACATGTGAAGTATGAAAGCCCTAGCTCCAATTGTTCAAAAGTTATGGCCAAGGTTAAAGTTGGATAAAATTTTACAAAACTGGGTCAAACTCCAAGGTCAAGGTCAAAAGGTCAAATATGATGGTACCCAAAGAAAGGTCTTGTTACAAGGAATACACGTGTGAAATATGAAAGTAATAGCTCCAACCAATCAAAAGCTATGGGCAAGGTTAAAGTTTTTGCGGACAGACAGACAGATGGACGGACAGGGCAAAAACTATAAGCCCCCAAATCTTCGATACGGGGGCATAAAAATTAAACATTTTATTGCATTTCTTGGAGACCTGCAACTAAGAAATTAAAGATGACTGAATGCTTTTAAAACATACATGGGTTGTGTTCACCGTTCAACCAATGGTAAAAATGTTGTCAGTACTGATGGTGCCATTGGTACCATTTTTTGACATTGGTAGTATTGGTTGCCTTGGAACTGTGAACAGATTTTTGTTAGCCATTAATTGGTAGGTATATTGACAATGGTAACCATTGGATACTAATAGTAACCATTGGATACTAATGGTAACCAGTGGATGTCAATGGTTACCAGTGGATGCTAATGGTTACCTGTGAGTTAAGTGACATGACTTCAAATGACTCATGTTCAATTTGCTCAATTACTTGTTATATAAATTTTTTCAAATGTTAGTCCTTAGATATGGCAAGCACCAATGTGTACCGCAAGTTTATCAATTTATTGAAATGACCATCTCTCAGTATTATATAGATGAAATATATTTTACATCTTCCCCCTCCCCTTTCAATGTCAACTGCATTTAAAATGTCCCACTGACATTCGTGTGCACTGTGTTTGACGCCATTTTGAGGGTATCTGCACTAATGAACGAAAGTCTCTCGCTGCCAATGATACCGCAAATGTGGTTGGCCTGCAAAAACGTCTACCAATGGTAACTACCTTTGGTAAACGTTGGCACCATAATGGTACACCAACGGTGATTAAAAATGCCAACAGTAACCATTGGGAGAACTGTGAATGCATCCATGGTCTTTGTTTTGCACTGTAATTTATTTGAAAGAAGGCTTTGTCAAGGGCCCTTGAAAGATTGATGCTTTTTAAGGACCTTCTACACTAAAGCAAAACATTTTTTTGGATATTTGAGAAAATTATATATACTCGCCTATAAGTCGGTCCGCCTATAAGTCGGTTGTATTTTTTTAGGTTATTTTGGAGGGATATGTCATTGACCCGCTTATAAGTCGGTGTAACTTTTGCCAGAATCGCTTGACAATTTCAAAACAATGCTCCGATGTTTTAACCTGTTTTCGATTAATATTTTTAGAAATGAAGCCTACATTTTATTTTTAAATCATTAAGAAAAATACATAATGCACACCTAAGATAGAAATAAAATTATTAAAATATGTAAATACTTGTACTTTATGTATAATCTTAGAAAACATGAATGATATAATATATCCAGACTTTGTTCAACGATAAGCATGGGAAATGTTTATAAAATACTACATTTTGCCGTCCAGAAAAATACTAATCTTTTTATGACTCGCTTATAAGTCGAACAAAGTGTTTTAGACCAAAATTTAACTCCCAAAAATCCGACTTATAGGCGAGTATATGCGGTACTTGTGTAAATTTATGCAACTGTATTCTTATTATTAGCATTAAAATCACACTGAAATCCTCATTAAAAATTAAATAAATTGTAAAAGTAAATTTTAGTCATAAGTTCTTTTGTAAAATGTGGCCCAAGCATTTTTCCCAAGGAAAAATGTCCATAGACAAGAAAGAGCATGTATAGATGAACAAAAATCACTCATCTGCCAATTGTTAAGTGGGGAGAATACAAGCAAAGGAAGTGTTCAGTCAATTTTATAATCGTGGTCTGAGAAAAAATGCTAAGAATGCTTGGATTGATTACAAATTGAGTAATACACTATAGATTTTAATTTATTTGATATTAGTTCCAAGAGCAGATTACTCTACTGCATAAAAATACCACAAAATCAGAACCCTTTAGGTGCAGTGTGGAGAACATTCTCAAGGTTTTGTGAAGGGCAAATTTTCTTAGGCCCTTTGATCTGTTAGGAGACCACAACTTAGATATTTGTCGCAACTAATTAAGTACATTCGTGATCAGAAATATTTTTTTTATTGGTTTAAATTAAGGCTTGCAATCACAATTATTAAAGATCTTTGATCCAATTTCCATTTTTTGTAATACGTATGATTTAATTCTAATTGTAAGGCACTGTTTGATTGGATAAAAAATTTACTTTATATTGTATGAAACTGTGTTCCCTACGTCACAATAACGTGCATCAACATGATCAAAAACGTATCAATCTGCCTGACATTACATTTAAATTATGTACAATTTGAAGTCATTTATTAGGGCAATCATCTTATTTTCTTCCACTAAATGAATGAAAAATTAAATGATAAGGAATGAAATGAATAGCTAACCAATTTATACAGTTTAAGCTGGTCTTTGCCTAGAGTGGTCTTTTCTTAGCACAGTGTTATAGGCTGTACATGACATCATAGTTGAGTGGTTGAGATGTCATAGCTTAGCAATTGTGAGGTTGAAAACATTGTGATATGGATATTAGCAATATTTACTGTTTTAGTCTCTATCAAGATGGTTTAGTTACTATATCTTATGACAGGCCAAAAATCATTTTTACTTACTTTGATGTCCTTTCACACTGTGACAGAATATCATTTTGGTGTCCTTTCACACTGAAAGAATATCACTTTTACTGGTATTCAATAAATAAATCACAGTATTTCACTATTGAAAATGTAATAAATGCATATATATCCTGTTATTCAGACTTGCTAGCTTTCAATGTTCTAAGGTGTGAGGTAATGTAATTAAGTTTAGGTTCATTAGGATGCTGTCTAATTAAGTTAAGCTTCAATGTGTGGTTCATCAGGATGCTTGAAAATTTAAAGTTGGTAAATATATAAAGCAACATATAAATGCAGTGATTCTTATTTTCACTACCATCATTAATTTATGTAATAATATATTTCTTGTCACGAAAAGTTTTGCCTTCACATTTAGTAATTCTAGACAGGTATTTATGATCTAACATATGTCAAAGGTGTGCAAAGTAATTAAGGTCAGTAAAACTGGGTCACCAATCAGGTTAGTGTCTTGAATGAAATTGAAATGGAACAAAAAAAAATGTTAACCAGTCAGGGGTGAGACTGAAATCCGTCATTTTTGAAAAATGATGGATAAGCGTCATATTTACTAAGTACGTATTTTCGTCATTTTTGTCAATATGACTTACTATCGTCATATTTTCTTTTTCAACTTAATTCTTCTATCCTGGTTACATGAAAGCGAAATTTGAATTCACCGCTGAAAGAAGAGTGTTTACGCAAGTTTCATTTCATCCGGGTCACTAATTACTGCCGACCACATGCGTTAGAACATCAACATGGAAGGTGAAAGTTATTATTTAGCGGTAAAATGTCGAATTTTGGTAGAACTAATTCGCCATTTTTACATGGCTTTTAGCCCTATAAAAACATATAGTACACCGTCTGGAAGAATATGTACTTGTAGAGAAAAGTCTCGACAAAAAGTTAAAGCCATAAAAAAGTAGTGCGCCCCGTAAAACAAGCGAGATATTTCAGTGCGCCCAGACCCTCCATTTTGAAAAAAGACGGAATATCGTCATTTTCGTCTTCTTTCCTATTTAATGCAAATAAATTGACAAATAACTCTTCCACTCTTATTTTTGCTTGGGAAATTTATACTGTCAACATAACCAGTATTGTAGTCAACTGTATTAGAGAAATGAAGTTCGTTTACGATGTTTTTTGTCCTTTTTTCGGTTGGTGGATCTAACATTTTTCAAAGAGAGGTAACTCGGTATTCTAGAAACACTCTAAATTTTTATGACTGTTTTTCGTCATTTTCTTAAAAATGACGAGCTTAAGTCATAATAAAAATTTTATTTTATGGCTTAAAATCGTCATTTTAAAAATGACGGATTTCAGTCTCACCCCTTACTGTTAACAGAAATATTTATTTCACTGAAATGTCAACTGTCTTTATTATGTAATAGTGCATGTTTTTTAAGGGAAAAAAGTTTTGCTTCAGGCAAAATTTAATGGTATAATGCATGAATGTACGCACTATAATGGAGTAAGCATATATACAAGGCAAAAGCTAAAACCTTTTTTAATGTTAGAAAAAATGAAAAAGGGGAAGGGGGGGGGCTGTGGGCTGCATTTTGATGGACAACATAGATGTAAAAAAAACAAACAAGAGGGGAACCAGTTTAGAACTGCGTTAGCTTCCTTGATTTCTCTGTTACTGGGCGTGAAAGAAGTAGTGAAATCCAAACTTATTTTACTGGCTAATCCCTTCTCAGTTCAACAATGCTCAATATTAGGTCTGTAGATGTTGCTGATCCAGTAGCGAATTACTGTGATATTAATTTTTTTGGAGAATTCTTATTACATTGGAACAGCAACATCTCTAGTTTGCAGAGCTGTCAAAAAATTTGAGATATCCAAGTGTTTGAGATTTCATAGCTTAACTTCACTTGAAATATGGTTACGTAGGTTGCATTGCACTCGGACATATCCTTTGTGAAGGCTGTGCTCTACAAGTGCCTTCTTCTTAAAACATAGAAACTTTTCTGAGTGCAAGATAAGTTTTCTTAAAATATGTCTTTTACACATCTCTTTCATCCTAGTGTCCTTGTCTTTACTAAAAGCCAGGCCCTTTTTGGATTAAAAAGTTGCTATCCCAGTGACATCTGATATATGATCCATCAATGTTCTAGATATCAAAGTTTCACCAAAATGTATTTTACAAGATTAGCATTATAAAACTGACCTTCTGCTGGGCGTCCTTAAGTGCTACAGAAAGGATCTCCAAGTTGTGAAGAATATCATATGGCATTAGTGCAAAAATGACAAGGAAATAGGTAGACTAATCAGTATTATGTTGTCTCACATTTCATTGAAAAAGGAAAGAGAGGTCTCTATCATCAGGTGTTTGCTAAATTCATTTCCAACCCCTATTACCATGATAAAGATTTAAGATTTATCTAGTGAAAATTTACACCCATCATACCAAGCATCTCATGTTTTTTTTTTTTTTTTTTATTTATTACATCACCAATCCAAGTTTTAATGCACATGTACGTATGTATGTATAAATGTAAAGTCTATCAATAATGATTAAACCGGGGGGGGGGGGGGGGGGGGAATTTTAGCTTATTGACTTATTCTGTGTTACATCTATCATAGTGTAATTGCAGATTCTTTTTTTTCCTTTAACTTGATTATCATATAGATATTTTAGAATGGCAAATCTCTTGTAGAGAGCAAGGGAATGGAGGATTTCTTGGGAGAGAGAGGAGTGGGGACAACCATATCCTAAATTTAATGACTACAATAATTATTACCAGGAATGATGTGTTATAACTTTGTAGGAATCCCTGATGATATAATAGCCATTATTTAATGTAAAATTAGTGGATTAAACTTTACATTTATAATATTATTAATATCAAAACTGTTTCATTATTCATCAACTATAATACAACATCCACTGAGGATATCATACAGGGATATAGCAGTGTCCTCCAAAATTGTGTCCTTTAATGATTAAAAGAATATAAATATATCAATAATGGACACAGTCCATTTTGTAATAAAATGTGAAAGGGGGAACTAGTTTTAAATGACAATTTCCATACAGAAGACGATTCTGGAAAAAGACCCCCATCCCAACCCCACACCTGCATGAGTATTACACTGCACTTGACTGAATGGGGTATTCGTACTTTTGTAAGATTGAGTAAATTGTTTGGTTTATTGCAGGATATTGACCCCAACAAAGAAGAGTCAGGAGAGCATGTATTGATGAGTCTGTCTAAAATGACTGTCCTAATCACACACCTTATTGTGGAGTTTGCCAAAAGCCTGCCAGGTTTCTCCAAACTCAGCAAAGAGGACCAAATTATTTTGCTCAAGGTAAGAGTGTGGAAACTCTTAACAAAGAGAGCAAGTCATCTTGCTCAAAGGAAGAATGAGATTTCAGTTACAGAGGAGCAAGAAATAAGTACCAGTACATAGCATGGTGTGCCTTGTGCAGTGAATTTATTCATAAAATTACATGTATGAGACTCTTGAGAAAAGGAATCAAATTATTTTAGTGTAGGCCATCTTTAAAAAATTGTTTACCCTCTCGTAGCTAACTGGTAAGTTTGAATTACTAACTATAAAGTTATTTGGAAGTTAGTTGGAATTATAAAAGTGGTCAGAATCAAAACTTTTGAAACCTCTTGGATTGAAACATTTTTAGCTCACCTGAGCCGAAGGCTCAAGTGAGCTTTTCTGATCACATTTTGCCTGTAGTCCGTCTGTCCGTCTGTAAACTTTTCACATTTTCGACTTCTTCTCAAGAACCACTGGGCCAATTTCAACCAAACTTGCCACAAAGTATCCTTAGGTAAAGGGGATTCAAATTTGTTCAAATGAAGGGCCACACCTTCTTCCAAGGGGAGATAATTAAGAATTCGTGAAAAATTAATGGCATCATTAAAAAATCTTCTTCTCAAGAACCACTGTGCTTGAAAACATGAAACTTATGTGGAAGCATCCTCAGGTAGTGTAGATTCAAGTTTGTTCAAATCATGACCCCCGGGGGTAGGGTGGGGCCGCAATGGGCGATCAAAGTTTTACATAGGAAATATACAGGAAAAATCTTTAAAAATCTTCTTCTCAAGAACAGCAAAACCATAATTGGTCATATTTATATGGTAGCATCCTCAGATAGTGTAGATTCAAGTTTGTTCAACTCATGACCCCCGGGGGTCGGGTGGGGCCACAATGGGCGATCAAAGTTTTATATAGGAATATATAGGAAAAATCTTCAAAAATCTTCTTCTCAAGAACAGCAAAGCCATGATTGGTCATATTTACTTGGAAGCATCCTCAGGTAGTGTAGATTCAAGTTTGTTCAAATCAAGACCCCCGGGGGTAGGGTGGGGCCACAATGGGCGATCAAAGTTTTACATAGGAATATATAGGAAAAATCTTCAAAAATCTTCTTCTCAAGAACAGCAAAGCCATAATTGGTCATATTTACTTGGAAGCATCCTCAGGTAGTGTAGATTCAAGTTTGTTCAACTCATGACCCCCGGGGGTCGGGTGGGGCCACAATGGGCGATCAAAGTTTTGCATAGGAATATATAGGAAAAATCTTTAAAAATCTTCTTCTCAAGAACAACAAAGCCATCATTGGTCATATTTATATGGTAGCATCCTCAGGTAGTGTAGATTCAAGTTTGTTCAACTCATGACCCCCGGGGGTCGGGTGGGGCCACAATGGGCGATCAAAGTTTTACATAGGAACACATAGTAAAAATCTTCTTCTCAAGAACAGCAAAGCCATGATTGGTCATATTTATATGGTAGCATCCTCAGGTAGTGTAGATTCAAGTTTGTTCAACTCATGACACCCAGAGGTCGGGTGGGACCACAATGGGCGATCAAAGTTTTACGTAGGAATATATAGGAAAAATCTTCAAAAATCTTCTTCTCAAGAACAGCAAAGCCATGATTGGTCATATTTACATGGAAATATCCTCAGATAGTGTACTTCAAATTTATTCAACTCATGACCCCCGGGGGTCGGGTGGGGCCACAATGGGCGATCAAAGTTTTACATAGGAACACATAGTAAAAATCTTCTTCTCAAGAACAGCAAAGCCATGATTGGACATATTTATATGGTAGCATCCTCAGATAGTGTACATTCAAATTTGTTCAAATCATGACCCCCGGGGGTCAGGTCGGGCCACAATGGGTGATCAAAGTTTTATATGGGAACACATAGTAAAAATTCTAAAAAAAAAAAAAAAACAATTTGTTAAGAATAGCAAAGCCATGATTGGTCATATTTATATGGTAGCATCCTCAGGTAGTGTACATACAAATTTGTTCGAATCATGACCCCCGGGGGTTGGGTGGGGCCACAATGGGCAATCAAAGTTTTACATTGGAACACATAGTAAAAATCTTTAAAAAAAACTATTTGTTAAGAATAGCAAAGCCATGATTGGTCATATTTATATGGAAGCATTCTTAGATAGTGTACATTCAAGTTTGTTCAAACATGACCCCTGGGGGTCGGATGGGGCCACAATGGGTGATCAAAGTTTTACATAGGAATACATAGGTTAAATCTTTAAAAATCTTCTACTCAAGAACAGCAAAGCCATGATTGGTCATATTTAAATGGAAGCATCCTCGGATAATGTAGATTCAAATTTGTTCAATTCATGACACCCCCCCCCCCCCCAACCACTTTTATATTTAAACTTTTCAACCTTTCAAGATTGAAGTGATTTCTGCTTTTTCCTAGTCATAGTGCTCAGGTGAGCGATGTGGCCCCTGGGCCTCTTGTTTTTATTCCATTGAAGTTTCCTCATCCTGTCAACAAATACTTTTGAATTAATTTTAATACTACCTTCAATTTCATTAAATTTTGAAAATTAAGCATTCATTTAATGATGAAAATTTCCCCCTACTTATTTATGCCCAATTAATTTATCATGAATTAGGTGTGCTGGCAATCAAACATTCTTAGCTAACCTGAGCTAAAGTTCAATGAGCTTTTCTGATATCAAAGGTTGTCTGGTGTCCTTCTGTTAAGTGTTGACTGAAACTTTTCACATTTTTAGCTCACCTCAACGAAGTTGGGGGAGCTTATGTAATACCCTCAGCATCGACGTCGGTGTCGGCGTCCCAGGTTAAGGTTTTTGGAGCAGTTTTCTTTTCAAGTACTTCTATGGCCTATATTAGTCAGAGATGCATGGAGGATGCTTCTAGTGTGTTTTATTGTACCAGTCAAGGTTTCAGATGCTGCAATTTCAGCTAAAGAATGACCAGGTTAATGTTTTTGGAGCAGGTTAAAGTTTTTGGAGCAGGTTAAAGTTTTTTGGAGCAGGTCTCATTTCCAAGTAACTATAAGCCCTATATTAACCAAACTTGCATGGATGATACATCTAAGGATGCACACTACTGGACTTGCTTCGGATGCTGGATCTGACCTACATTTTCCGGATGAGTGACTAGGTTAAAGTTTTTGGAGTAGATCTCATTTCCAAGTAACTATAAACCCTATATTAACTAAACTTGCATGGATGATACATCTAAGGATGCGCACTACTGGACTTGCTTCGGATGCTGGATCTGACCTATATTTTCCGTATGAGTGACCATGTTAAGGTTTTTGGAGCAGATCTCATTTCCAAGTAACTATAAGCCCTATATTGACCAAACTTGCATGGATGATACATCTAAGGATGCACACTACTGGACTTGCTTCGGATGCTGAATCTGACCTATATTTTCCGTATGAGTGACCATGTTAAGGTTTTTGGAGCAGATCTCATTTCCCAAGTATCTTTAAACCCTATATTGACCAAACTTGCATGGATGATACATCTAAGGATGTACACTACTGGACTTGCTTCGGATGCTGGATCTGACCTATATTTTCTGGATGACCAGGTTAATGGTTTTGGAGCAGATCTCATTTCCAAGTAACTATAAGCCCTATATTGACTAAACTTGCATGGATGATACATCTAAGGATGCACACTTCTGGACTTGCTTCGGATGCTGGATTTGACTTTTATTTTCCGAATAGTGACCAGGTTAAAGTTTTTGGAGCAGATGTCATTTCCAAGTAACTATAAACCCTATATTTACCAAACTTGCATGGATGATACATCTAAGGATTCACACTACTGGACTTGCTTCGGGTGCTGGATCTGACCTACATTTTCTGGATGAGTAACCAGGTTAAAGTTTTTGGAGCAGATCTCATTTCCAAGTAACTATAAGGCCTATCTGAACCAAACTTGCATGGATGATGCATCAAGGGACGAACAATCTCAAAACTTGCTTTGGATGCTGGATTTGACTTGCATTTTCTGGATGAGTGACTAGTTTTAAGTTTTCAATAAGTCTATTCCCAAGTAACTGCAAGCCCTATCAGACCAAAATTGCATAAATGTTGCATCTAGCGATGCACACTCCTAAATTATTAGTTTAGTGTGGGACTTTGCCTTACTTAAAGACAACATTCGTTGAGGTGAGCTCTGTAATCTCTGATTACCTATGTTTGACTTCTTTTCAGAAGCACCAGGCCAATATCGACCAAATTTGCCACAAAGCATCTTTGGATAAAGGATATTTAAGTTAGTTCAAATGAAGGGTTATGCCCTCTTTAGGGGAAATAATTAAAAATTAGTGAAAAATTAATGGCATCTTTTAAAAATTTTCTTCTCAAGAACCACTGAGTCAGAAAAGATGAAACTCATTTAAAAGCTTCAATTTTTTTTAAACCAAGAACCCTGGGGTTAGGGCGGGGCAACAATAGAAGATTAAAGTTTTACATAGGAATATATAAGGAAAAAATCTTTAAAAATCATCTTCTTAAGAACAAAGCTATGATAAGTCATATTAATATGGAGGCATCATCAGGTAGTGTAGATTCAAGCTTGTTCAAATTCAGCAGTAGAAGATTAATTTTTTTACGTATGAATATATAGAAGAAAATTTGTAAAATTCTTTTTAAGGCATGATTTATCATCTGAATATGGAATCATCCTCATTTAGTGTAGGTTCAAGTTTGTTCTAATCACGACCCCCTCCCCCTGCCCCTCACTGGGCTGTGATGGGGGACCATTCATATAATTTAACTTTTCAATACTGAACTGATTTCTGTTTTTCTCTACCAAGAGTGCTCAGTTGAGTGATATGGCCCTTGGGCCTCTTGCTTTTAAACATGTCCTTGTTTCAACAATGTGTATTTTCTCTTTTGGATGTACAGCATGACCAGTGTGAAAAATTGTTACATTTTTCTGTAGGCTGCCTCTAGTGAAGTAATGGCTTTAAGAGCCAGTCGAATGTATGACCCTGCATCAAGGTCCATTGTGCTGGCTAATGGCATTCCACTGACAATTTCCAACATGGAAGCTACTGGTCAGCCCAGGGAGTACACGGAGCTTGTGTTCAAACTGTGTCATGACATGGCTGAGCTCAATTCTGATAACGCTGAGTATGCCCTCTTTACGGCCGTTAGTATATTTTCAGGTGAGAGGGACTTAACTGTAAAATCATATATTTTCATGGGGTCCAGTTTTCATGGTTTTAGGGAAAAATATTGGTTCAAGGAACTTGATTTCATGGTTGAAGAAGTGCTGCATTGTTATATGATCAAAAACAGTTGAACTTCGGTATCTGGAACAAAGATATTTCAAATACCATGGGTATGTCGAAGTCATTTTGAAGTCCCATCTCCTTATTCCTTAAGTATTTTACCCTGGATATCTCGAATCCTTGAATCCCTGAAGTATTGAAGTATTTTCTCGATCCCTTTGAGTTCGAGGTAACGAGGATTGACTGTATATTTTGTGGAGGACATGAATTTGAAGGGTCTTTTCACACCACAAAAAACAACAACAACAAATCAGAGTATTATCAAAAATTAAAGCACAGCGATAACTACAGTTGAACATTTATGTCTTGAATATGGTAGGACTGTTAAGTGAAAAATTGAGATAACAAAGAGTTTGAGATATATCAAAGCTGAGATTTTTTTATCCAGTGATAAGACAAACCACTCAGTGTGGCATATCCTAGGTATTCAAAATAAAAGCTCCAGGGCCATAAAACCTTACAGTACCGACCAGACACAACCTAACAGAAAGCGAACCCAAAGCGCACCCCGGGTTCGCTGCCTGGGTTTGCTTGGGGTTCGCTTGGGGTTCACTATAGCGGACCCCGAGCGAACCCGGAGCGCACCCCGAGCGAACCCGCAGCGGACCCAGAGCGAACGCCGAAAGCGAACCCCAAATTCAGTAGCGAACCCAGCAAGCGAACGCGCGTTCGGTGTTGCGTAACTGATCTGTCAATCAGGATTAGCGATAAGACGTGTTAACCAATCAGCGCGTCGACCGATCAGCATGCCAGTTTGTCATTCGATGTAAATAAAACATTCTACAAGCAAAGCGTGTTTATGTACAGTGTGAAATTATTATTTACACTATTAAAAAAATATTTATATTTATAAATTAATATCTAGGTAGCATGTTATATTTACACATTTATTTTCTTTATTTTTTATTTTTAAAATCCATTTATTTATATTGCGTAAATTTATCAGACAAGTTCTTTAATGTATAAAAGAAAATAATGGTTATCACAATTGTTACTAAAACAAAAAAGAAAAAAAGTATTTTGACAAATTATAACATTTCATTATCTCAAGATACTGCACAAGAGTATGTATATGTACGTGCTTTCATTCAATTATTTTATTTTTATAATTCTAATTTACATTTTTGTTTAAATCCAGAGCAACATCAAAATTATTAATCTTCTTAATTGAAAAAAAAGTAAAAAAAAATAAATAAATAAATGAAAAATAAATAAATAAATAAAGAACAGCATAAATGTACATGTACAGTATGTCCAATCGTAAACTACTATTGTATTATTTTGATTTACAAAAAAATAATGTAAAGCTTGATTTACCTTGGTTTTTTTTTTTTTTTTTTTTTTTTTTTTTTAATTATTATTAGCTGAAATAAAAAGAAAGAAAAAAAAAAAACAATGCGCGATTCACATGTACATTATTGAACGAACTAATTATCGGTAGTAAATAAGCAATATAATAAGTCGTACAGTATTGTATTCTTATAAATAGCGTAACTTTAAATGATAAAGCGTATTTAAGATGTTTAACGATTTTTTTTCTCTGATGATGGGTCCCGTTAACTGCTTATTGTGGTCATGATATTTTTATACCAATACATCAGAAATGTACATTTTTACAAAAAAATTATTAATTCCCAATACTTACATAAATAATTAGTCGACAAATGTACACGACATGATTGTCGGGGTTACTTTTTATCCCTGATACTTATTATTATTTTGATTTCTGCAGATGAATGAATTTAAAAAAAAAAATGCTGATTTTTGAATTCATAAATGGAAAGATGAATATAAGTATTCATTCCATATTTAGGCCACTTTTAAAAATTTTTTACCCCCATACTGCATATTATAAAATCCAATAGAATCAAAACTCACAGTCAACCTATATCATATGATAGAACATGCTGCATTCGATCATAAATTACATTTTTACGTATCAAAAAGATAAAAAAAAAAATTCTAAGTCGGAGAATTACATTAATAATTATTAATTTTGTAATCTAAAATACCTATTAAATCTTATTTACATGTAGTTTCAAAAATATTTTTTTTTCTATAATTTTTTTTTCAGTTATCCAAAGTCGATTAATTGCAGCAGTAAATATTTTTAATCTAAAATATCTATTAATAAGTTTTTTTTTTTTTTTTTTTTTTTTTAAATATCCACTCCTTAATATTTTTAACTATTTTGTGTAGAACGTGATCGGTCGTGTATGTTGTCAACAATAACATTGCAGCCACTGCACATGCACTTGTATCGATCGGCACAAAAACAGCAATGATCGATTTCACTGCTGTATTTGGAATAAACAAGGGGCGGAGCTTACTGGCGGCAAGATTAAAGCGGGGTCCGCTTCGCGCATGAGTGCGTAAAGCGAACCCAGAAAGCGAATGCCGGGTTCGCTCTAGCGGACCCAGAGCTGACCCCGAGCGAACGCAGAGCGAACCCAAAGCGAACTCAGAGCGCACCCAAAATTTCTGAAAGCGGACCCCGAGCGAACCTAGAAAGCGAACCCGGGGTCCGCTTTGGGTTCGCTCTGGTGTTAGGTTGTGTCTGGTCGGTACTGTATATAAACTCACTTTTGATCTCAGTTTCACTTTTCTACTATATTTTTCCACAAGAGCCTGATCTTGTGTGTTAACCAAATTCAAATTATTTATAGTATTTGAACAATCTGACAGTGCAACTCGGTCCATCTAGGGCTTGAAATTCACTTTCTCGGAAGATAAAAGCATCGAACTTTGTAAAAGTACAAGTTGTTGATTATTCGCAATGTTTTAGAAGTTGGGTCCAAAATAATGCTGAATAGTTGATATATTACATGTACATATTTTTAAAGTAACATACAAACAAAGCCCCCTCACCCTTTGATATATCAACAGTTTCATTATATCAACAGTTTCATGAGAAGGTATAAAGCTATGAATTGATCGTTAAAGATGTTGCTAGTTGTGAACATGGTGAAGGAACATCAGTAATCAATGATCTTCGGATTTCACTTACACATGTAGATAAACATGTACATGTGAATAAGAGTGCAGTATTTTGAAAAACGAGTTAATTATTATCTTAAATGTAGATTATTAGATAGCTTCTAGTTTTCTGTGGCCTTTTTCTGCATTACATACATTTCAGACTTTAGACCTGCATAGGTAATAAGACTTATTTCAAGGATTGAGTATTGTCCATCCAAATTCAATGACATCTTCTAAAAACAAATTGAATATATTCTAAGCTAAAATATGTAATTTATAGTTGCTAAATTTTTTTTAAAAGTTTTAACTTGTGAATTTTCCTGTTACAGCTGACAGGGCTGGATTAACGAACCGTGACCTGGTAGAGCAGATTCAGAAGGTGTACGTTGATGCTCTGGATGAGTACGAGAGCAAAAAGCGGGTCAAAGGTGGATGTGCTCTGGCGAAATACTTGCTACGCCTCATCGATCTGCGAAATATTAGTGCAGAACACTCCAGAATGCTGACTATTCTGCCCATAGATGAAACGGCCATGCCTTCTGTTGTCAAAGACATTTATATGCAGAATGATAAATGAAGGCAAAAAATTATTCTTAAAAAAATTATGAAGTGGTTAATGTGTCATTGGTAAAAATACCAGGGTGCTTGAATGGAGAGGGGGGATGTGCTGAAGCAAGGAAAAGTCAAACGGCAAATTTGGTGCAGAACTTGTGAGAGAGAATTTGTTATAAATGAATTCTTGGAATGATGAAGAACAATTGCGTATCTTATTTTACACTTGTGTGTGTTTCTTATTATGGTATTAAAACATCTAATGTTGATTCAAGTTATATATATATAAATATTATATCATATGTATATCTGAGTGGGGAAAATGTGTGTATGTAAAATGTATGAGACAAACTTTTCCCTCTCTTAAAAAAAAATTACTGTGTATTGTTTATCTGATTGTGGAAATGGTTAGTTGCTATGGTAACAACCAATGGGAATGATCTAAAGACTCCCATTGAAACTAATCTGCTCAAACGTGTTGTGTTCCTGTTTCTCATGAGCTCTTTGAACTTGTATGTTACCCATGTATTCCATATTTGAGATTGTATAGCGTATTAAAATACTGTATTAGAAATTGGTATAGATTTTCCTTAGCAGATAGTGTTGTAAAATATCATCATTCAGGGAATGTATTCTTGTTATGGGCAAAAGGGCCCTCAGTCTGTTAAATTATTGCAAGCATGTGATCTGGAGAGCATTTTCTTAATTAGGGCCCCGCAAGGATTTGCGGGTGCCCTATAGTAATCACTCTGTCTGTCTGTCCGTCTGTCTGTCTGTCTGTCCGTCTGTCATTCTTTCGTCCACAAATTTTCTGTTTTTTTCTAATAACTTTTTTTAGGGTTGACCAATTAAGTTCAAATTTGGTATGTTGGTTGAATAGGCAGTAAGACATATTTTGATGCTAAGTTTGGTTCTCTATGTCATCCGGTTTGGAGCTGGGGTGGTGGGGTAGATTCCTTAACTTTATATAAGAGTGAATCAGCAAAGAGAGATAACTGCTGAGAATGTTCCTATCGTAAACTATGAAAGGCTGCAATGAGTCTCTTGGGATTAATTAACTTTTCTTTTCAAGAAAATCCAAAGCATTTATCTTTATCTGTCACATTGAGATTAATTAACACCTCTGTCTGCAAATGAAGTTTGTTTTGAAGTTAAGGTCAATTCTGAATGATGTTTACATTCTCTGATATGTGGATTTAAATAATGTTCATACTTTATTTTGGTAAAATACGCAATGAGTTATTTATGATTTTATTGAATTCTTAAAACAAGATATAGGTAAAGATATCTTTTTTATAATTATTTTCTTTTTTTTTCTTTTTTCTGCCTTATGTAAATTCAAGAATACTATTTATTTTAAGAGGTAATCAGATAATAACCTCATTCTATCATTGCTGAAAAAGTTCTTGTTGTAAATTTAGAAGAAAAGGTTGAGAGAGCAGTATAATTAATCCCCTGGGATTAATTATCTTGCTGGTCCCAGAAAAGTTTAGAGGGTTGTGTTTCTGTCACTTTAAGATTAATTAACACCTTTGTCTGCAACAGTTACTGATGTTTGTTTTGAAGTTAAGGTCAAGCCTGGGTGATATTTGCATTCACTGAAGACTGGCATTTTAGAAAAAACATGCTTCATTCTTCTTTAAATATACATTTAATTGAGTTATTATAGATATGATGTTTTTACTACCTTATGAAAATACAAGGATACTATTTACAGGTTGAAGGAATATTTAGCAGTTGCTGTTGCTTATTCTTCTTTATATATTTTTAAATTTTTGTAATCAAGTAAAATTCTCATCCCGTAATCTACACCCTTATATTTCTACCACAGGCACTTGTTTCGGTAATAAATTTTTAACCCATAGTATAGTAATAACACAAGGTATCTAACTCCGAATTACACGGAGTACCCCCCTCCCCCAGAATCGCACTCATTTACACTTTCAGAGGAAATACACTGACGAACTGTTTATACCTATGTTTTCTACGATAATTTATCTACACAACCATATATGGCATGCTTGTCTTTATTTTCTTTAGTCTCCGTAAACAGCGTCAAAACTCTGCTCGCCGTGTGGAAAAGTCGAATTCAACCATGAAATGGTATGTGCTAATCCCGCACAGAGATTTTGATTGGCTAAAAATCTGTTTCTAGAATTACATCGGATAAACATCGTAATGTTTTCAGGGAAAATCAGATGTAAACAAGTTCTATTTACTCATGCAATATTTGAACACTGGAATTGAATTTTTAAACCCACTCATTTTTTAATTTTGTTCTCTGTGCGGGATTAGCACATGCCATTTCATGGTTAAATTCGACTTTTCCATATGGCGAGCAGAGTTTTGACGCTGTTTACGGAGACTAAAGAAAATAAAGACAAGCATGCCATATATGGTTGTGTAGATAAATTATCGTAGAAAACATAGGTATAAACAGTTTGTCAGTGTATTTCCTCTGAAAGTGTAAATGAGTGCGATTCTGGGGGAGGGGGGTACTCCGTGGAATTCGGAGTTAGATACCTTGTGTTATTACTATACTATGGGTTAAAAATTTATTACCGAAACAAGTGCCTGTGATTTCTACCCCTCGGCGGGGCCCTTGCTGACTGGTCAGATTTCTAGTTTTCTCTGCTTATTTTAGGGTTATGAAATTTTAATTATCAAAAAGATTTGGTTAATTTTGATTTGGAGATACTATAAAGATCTTTTAAATCCTGTAAATTGTTCCCTCTGGAAATTCTGATTCAAATTTTGTACTTTAATTGTTTTCATCAGTTTCATATTGCTGTTTAAAATTGAAAAAAGATACTTTTGACTGTATTTGACCAGTCAATTCAGTGAGAGATCTCATTAATGGAATATTTATTTATTGTTTTAAGTACCTGACATTCTAGGCTGTAGTGTTTGTGCCTTCCAGAGCTTCAAGACAAAAAAAAGTACTTTTTTAAAATTTATTTTTCAAAGTCGTCAGTTTGATCCTGTAAAGATTGATTATTCAGCAAGAAGTTTTAACCCTGTATATATACATAGTATGTAATACAGATTACCATATATACTCTACTTTAAGTCCGACTTCTCGGAATTCAAAATTGAATCAAGAGAATATTCTGACCTGCTTTCAGTTTTCTTTCTGGTCATGATATTAGAGTCTAGAAATCAATGTTAAGATTGAAACAGAGTCAAAATTCTGAAGACGTATTGATTTCATTGCAAAATATTATTAGTGGGGGTTTTGCCTAACGGTAACACACACCATAAAACATATGATCTTTCTTACTGTCTTTCTTGAAATACTGTGCTATTAACTAAACAAATTCATTGTTAAAGATGACAGAGGTCACAGTTCCATAACCAGTGAAGATAACTTGATAAAAATGGCTGATGATGATACCCCTGTGATATAGATGGATAAAGAAAGTGATTGCATTTATGGTTTATTAGCTTAATAATTGAGGTAAATGTATTCTAAATGCAATTCAGATCATATGAAAAAAAATATGTTAAAATCAATTTACTTCTATAAAAAAAAATCTCAACACTTGCCAAAGATTGCACTTTTTTTTACATTGGCAAGGGCAAGGAAACCAAAAAATATACAGTTGACTTGCAGTTGAACAATACTTACAGTGGAGTATATATGGTAAGGAGATTAATCTTCCAATCTTTGAATTAAATGAAGCATTATTTTATAGTAGGATACCAATTCAAATTATACCAATTAACATGTAAAACTGAAAATGGTCAAAGAAGGTGGCATGCAAGTACAAGTGGTATTGCCAACATTCTTCTGTAGATTTTAGGAAATGCATACATATATCTGGTGCAGGGCATCCATCATTTTACAGTCAAAACATAATATCTTAAACTCAGTGGAACTTAGAAAAACTTTGAGATAGAGAGGTTAAAATACATAAAGAAAAGGTGGATCCAACTCTTAGGGTGTACAAGACATCAAAGTTTAAGATACCAGGGATCAACTGTATTTGTAAATTTTAGTGGTTTAATGGAAATTTTAAGATTTTTTCAGTTCTCACTGCATGCATTATTTAAATTATTTTCAGACACTGTAAGTTGTTTGTGAAAATATTTTAATTTATAATTAGGCACCTCACTATTTGTTTGTGAGTTTTATCACATTGTTTGATATCATATTAGTAAGCTGTCGATGTGTAGGACTCCCATGAAATGGAATGACTTCTCATGACATTATTGTATCAATGGCATTTTTTTAAAATCTGTTTCATAAATATTAAATGGTTAATATTGCTGTTCAGGTCCTGAGCCAAGATTCAAGATATATAAATTATTTGTATGTTGTGGAAACTGTACATGTTTTTTTTCTTCAAGTGTTCATTTGGTTTGTCCTTCCATTTTGTGATGTGTGACATGTTCACTTAGGTAAAATAATCTTATTTTGATTCTCTTGCATGAATTTTACATACATAATGTCAAATACAAATGAAAGGGCAATTTTTAAAAAAAATTATGGAGGATGGTTGAAATAGAATTCTGGAAACATTGATTATAAACAGTGTAAGAGACCCTCTCTCAGGGACATTGATAGTGTTTTATAGCTTATATATATTATTTATCACACAACCTTCCTCTTTTGCTCAGGAAGAACAACTTGCCACAAAAAACAAGTTTTTCTTTTTTTTTTATATGGATAGTAACAAAAAAATTTAAAATCGATATTCTATTACTTATAAGTAACCAAAGAAAGTAATCTTGTTGAAGAAAATGTATGTTCACATTGTTTATTGTGCTTGACACATTGATTAAGCAACCAAAGGCTATGTTAATGCTATATCCATAGTTGTCCCTCAGTTATGGTAGAATTCATTCCTATGAATTTTCAAATCATGATTTTTAAATTTTTTTAAGAGAGGCCAAAACACATACTCACAACAAAAAATGTTGATAATTGAGCTTTGTTTATTTGGAGAATTGCCTGACCAGTGATGTTTCTCATTATCAGATGAAATCAGTTTAACTTTGATTTGATGGGGTTTATTTTTCCCCTTAGATGTTAAGCTTTTCACAGATATTTTTTCCCAAAAAAAGATGTCAAATTGCCCAACTTCAGAGAGTGATGTTCAGCCCTTGCTCATTTTTTTTTTTAAATTATTTAACCTGGTCTACACTTTGATAAGACTGTTTACATGTATAATAAATTGGTAAATACTTATTAATTTTACTTTTGTATGATATTAAAATAAGCACACAGTGTTTGATATGTTATAAATCACTGTATAGACAATGTTGAGGAAAGGTTCAGTATTTATATGTTTTTTTGTCCATGACATCAAAAAATACATGTCACTAAAGCTGTTAAACATGAGTTTTTGCATTTGGTATATGTATATACACCGCAGTGTATTTCTTAAATGAGAAAATTCACAACTGATAATTGGATGCAGTTTAATTTTCAGTGGCTAGGCTAACTGTAAAGACATTTTTTTTTTTGGTATTTTTTAAAAAATTTTTTAAAAAAGAAGAACGTTCAAAGATTCTATGTAAGTGATCATGGATTTTTATAAAGGTACTTTTCAGATATACAGTATATGTTCTAATTGGTTTTTTTTAGTACCTCACACAATTTAATATTTCATACATCATATGACTTGTGATTTGAATTAGAAGTACTATAGTATTGTTTTATTTTTTCATTATATATATGAGCTCTACCTCATTTTTTGTGAACATGTATTGAGCTGTTTCTATTGTATGATGGGTCATTAGGAAAAAGAGTTGCTGTAGCCAATGTTATTTTTAGATCAGTGTCCATTAAAAAAAACTGTTAAGTATCCTCAGCAGAATAAATCTTGTAAATATCTTTATTTGTGTCTCAAGATTTTTTATCAGACCTTAAAATGACGCTTCTCCAAGATTTGGGCTTTCTACGTAATACATTGTATAAACTAAAATTAACTTTTTCTTTTCTTCCAAAACTGAATATTAGAGGAAGAATACATATATATGTATCTGGTGAAGGACATACTTTACAATATCATGCACAAAAAATTGAAAAGCCATTTTACATGTATTTAAAAAGTGTATTTTGGAAAACGTTTTAGTAACTTGAACCACTCATAATTCCTTTTTCTCTCTGTTCCCCATTGGTGTGGTGCATTATTTTGTTACATTCAAATTTTTGAATTTTGTTTGGGTTAGTGTAAGTACAGAATTATAACATTATAAATTGCATTTCACCACGTTAAT